AGCACATGGTGGGGGATATGTCCACAAAATTTCAGCCTTGCTTTCGCAGTTCCTGTGATGATGATTTTACTCGCCCCAACTTTTTCGATGCCCTACGTGTTACCCATGGGTAGGGGGAAGCTGAATTTAAATTTGCTGGGTCGTATTTGCGTGGCGAATGTCCTTCTAAATTTTTAGCTTCCTAGCTTTTGTGGTTTCTGGGCTGAAAGTTGCGAACAAGTTGCTTCGGACACACACACGCAGCCCCGTGGCAATATGCTTTTGTACTGCTGTTGCACAGCACAAGACGCATTAAAAAAGAAAAACCGACATTCATCGCATACGTAGCCGTTTTGGCTGGCACAAGCGCATTTTCGCATCAACAAGCCAGACGCTGGTCGCTGCTGGTTTCGCCTGACAAGTGTATATGTTTCTTTTGTGAGTGTTTTTCAGAGGAAAGACCCGGAGCAGTTCATGCAAATCCACGGGCGGAAGTATCAGATACACATGGATCCGGCGGTAGCACGTGCTGCGGAAGCGTCCAGCATCCTGTGCGCGTTTGGCATTAGTAATTTGTTCTTCCCTCGTTGTTCACTTAATGTGGATTCAACGCGTGCTAATATACGCTTCGTGTTTTGCGGTTTTTTGTTTTCTAAAATTTTGCCCGTTATACCGTGTTATATCATACGGTAAGTTCGATCCTGCTGCTCCTTTTGTGCGGTGCGTTCTGTTTTCTCTAATTTTTAGTGAAATTTTGGTTTTGCTTCGTTCAACACAAATTTCTACGATTCTTCGTCTTTGTAGCCGATTCTTTTGCACTCCCCCCGCTTCACCCAAGCTTTTCAGGCTCATCAAGAGTTAGTGCTTACCTGCTTTGCCATTCCACCGTAATAATTACACGCAAACCCACGGAACAGTTGTTGAAATGTGTGTTTGATTCACGTAAAAAATACTTTTGGAAATGCAGAAAACTGAATGATATGACATATGAGGAATTGCACGGAGAACAAGGAACTGTATGTGGTGCTGAGAAGGGAGACGGTACGGCCAGAGCTCAGTGATGCGCCGTCGGTTACGGCACGAACTGAATAGTTGCTGGTGATTAGCGTCACAACTGGCTCTTGCACTTTCAGGAAAGTTGCCCTCATCCACTGAGATGTCCATCCGCAAGCTCTCTGGATTTCATGATAAAGGCAGGCTTCACTCTTTCCTACTGCAAAGGAATCGGCAAAAAGAAATCATCCGCCTAAAGAAACCATTTCAGTGTAAAGAAATCATCGGAAGCTCATTCTCTTCTTTTATTTTCCTTCGACCTCCATTGCCGGCCCTTCCCTCTCGCTTTACTCCTACTTTAAAAAAAACGAAATTTTGCCGTTCTGCTCCAAACACTGGTATTAATCCGCCTTATGTATTTTTCCACCGGTAACAGTGCCGTTCCCATGAAATTGTCATTTCCTTTCATTTACGTATTTGCAAGTTGGTTCCTGATAACTGTTGGGATTGTTACTGATTTTGGGAGGACAGCTGGGAGGTGCGCGTCTTGAGATGGCAGGCTGTTTATGCTGATGTATTGATTAGTACTGCTCGTGGGCAGGGTAGCATGTAATAGCTCGTTGGCTAGCTGTACAGCTTACCGCCCGGGGCACCGTGCTGGAGCTATCAGTTGTCCTGATGATCCCAGCAGGTATGCGATTTTTGTTTACTCTAAATCTCTGATGCGCTTCTCATTTGAAGGATTTTCTTTGTAGGCGAAAGTGGCAAGGTGACCCGAACATACTCATTGATCGCTTCGATGTCCGCGCACATCTTGACTACATTCCGGAAACGAAAGTGGATTTGAATGACAGCGGCTCTGCCCGTTGCTACGCAGCGGGGTAATTTTACAAATCCTGTACTCGACGACGGCCTGGCTTCGTTTGAATGGAGCGTTTCCAGAAGAGTAGCACTTGATTCATGAATAAAACAGATGGCGAGCGAGCTGCGCTGTCCGGCATCTGTTTTAGGGCAAAAATTTGGTCATTTGTGTTGCAACTCGTTCCGACTAGTAAAGGCTCGCATGAAGAGCCTATAACATGTAATTGTGGCAGTAGTTAGATCAGGCCATAGTTCTTCAGGTCTCTTTTAAAGCCCTTTTCCAGCAGATTAGTTTTTCTGCCCCCTCTAGCTTCCTCTCAACCAAATACCAACCGACTGAATGGCAGTAACTTTTCAAATCTCGTTTTCTTAAAATCTGATCTGCTCAGTTTTAGTGCTATTTTGGTTGTGTGCCATTCATCCGATGGCATTGATTGAATGAATAAATGTTAAAAAGCATAACGTGCAAAAATCTTTAAAAGCATACATCGAAAAATTGAAGTTTATAACATTCCTTCCAGAAGACTCCGCTTACCATCTCTCTAGCTACGCCCTGTTAGTGTAATTTTCCCCTTTCGTAATTGGATGCATTTTAAATTTATTTTCAAGGGCAACAATGGATGTTGAGGAGTTGCAGTGCGAATATGAGAGGTATCGTATTCTTGTGCTCAACGAGTTCGAAAGAGGTAGGCTTTGATCTTCCTCACATTCAACCTACTTGGTTTTTTTTGTGAATTCTGGCTGAGGATTTATTCATTCGTAATTGTGACAAATCGAAATAACTTTTGGAAGTGAGAGGGCGAGTTGCAAAATCGGTCGAAAATTGCTCCAAATATCCTGCAAAGAGGTTTTATTACCGCCTGATACCACTTGAATGGATGATATTGAGGAAGTGATGAGTGTATGTAATGGGTATGACAAAAGAAAACCCGCAAGACGAGTTGCTGTCGGAAGACGAGGGTTGCGTTTCGTGCATGGCTGCTTGTCAGTGCCACCAGGAATTGCACTTTTGATTGTTTGGGCTATCTTTTTGAACAGCAGTTAGCGTAATCGAAAATATGGTCCTAAAAGAAACAAAAAAATGTGATGAGTCGAAATTAAAAAAAAAAAAACGTAAGAATTTTTACAGAAAATAGCCGTTTGTTGCCGTTACTGTATCTGAATCCTCGAGTAGTAGAATCTCATCCCGGATTTGCCTGTCGCAAAAACATGGATCTGGCACTGTTTTTCTTTTTCACTTTTGAACAAATTTCCTTTTTTCCTCAATTTGCGCTGGTCTGCGCAGACATATGTGGGCACTTTCTGAATACGTTGTTGGCTGAAATAGCAGCGATCTTTTTTTCTAAATTACGGACGGAAGAAGTTCATTTTTTTGTGTCCAACTTTTTAGTATCTGAGAAGTCGTTCTTACGAGAAATAGCGGCGAAGGAATTTTGGCCAGATGAGTCGACATCGTCTACGATTGCACGAGCTGAGTTGGAAAAGAAAAAACAGCTGTATGCTTTTCACTTGAAAAGATTCAATTGTTTTGGGTTGTTTGTCCATCTGAATGTCGAACCGGGGACCATCTTTCCAATTCCGCCATTTTTAACGTGGTTATACGCCAATAATACGGGAACAAAACGATCCCTTCGCCCTCTTCCCCCCTCCCCTCGCATCGGCGTATGGGTGCCGAAAAGACAGCATGTAAATTTTTTGGCGGGAAAACAATTTCGGGAACTAAACAGTGTATGAAGCTGAAATCGTACAAAGATATTCCGTGCCCTTATGTGAGCTAAAGATTGCAAGTTCAGCTGTTACGCACATTTACGCATACGTACTGATATATTAAAACTGAAATTGGGGAGGCAATGACAAAATGCTTGGAAATCAATTTGATAAGAATATCCTAATTTTGTGAGGATATTTGTTTTTCGTACTTGGGCATACAGGAATAAAATGGGCTTTGGCGTTCACCTCTGTCGCGCATTTGAACACGTCAAAAAAATTTGTAACGAAAGGCGATTTCGCCAACCAGTCTTGTTATGGAACTGAAACTTTATGGGGATATTCTCAGCTTATGTGCGACTTAGCTTTAAAGCATTCCTGGGTCTCGTGCACGCACAAGTAAAGTTTAATTTAGGGCAGTGTTGGCACCCACTTAATTATGCGTTTTGTGCTGTGTAACAGCAGTACAAAACGCATATTGTTACGGGGTTGTCTGTG